TTAATTAACAGAGTTGATGAATATAGGCACAGTATTAATAATAGCTATTGTTTCAATATCAAATATTTAATAATGTTTGATCAAGTAAATTATTTTGTTTTCACATAAAATATATATATATATATCACGTAAAACTATTAAATATATATTTCCGCTATATTGAATATATTTTTTATAACAATTTCATATTTTATATGATAAAATGTTATGTCTAAATACGAGACACATTTTTAATACCGCCTCGGACCCCCGAAAAGCTAGGCACGACACTGGATAAACGTATACCCATTTTCATAAATATTTCATGAGTTTATTTTATTAAAACCCAATTTAAAAAAGATATACATTATAGTAACGTTAAACATGTAAAACAAATTAGTAGCATAATAGAATTAAAAAAAAATTTATGTACTTTTTTTTTCATCTGAAAATTTCATTTAAAAACACACAAATAGCATACATAGTCAAATATCGGGTAGAATGCGAGATAGAATGCGAGGTAGAACACAAGGCAAACCATTCTAAATCTAGTGTGAACCTAGCTAACCATCTAAGCAAAGCCACACTAAGGATCAAACAACTAATATCCTAAACGAAAAAAGCGATTACCAAAGACGTCTGATCCAAGCAGAGTTGAAAATAGACAACATAGAGCCTTATTAGTCTTGAAGGATAGTTAACAGTCTAATCCCAATCTATTGCTCATGCCCTACTCTTAGGGCTTGATTGGCAGAGCATTTTAAAGATCATTATACATTTTATCATTAAAACTTGATTGGTTGACAGAACATTAAGTAGGGCATTTAGTAAATGCAAATACTCTCAAAATACTCCTCCATCAGTGCTCTCAAATGAAATTTTTCCAGAGCATTGATCTCTAAATATTTTTACAAAAATTAAAAATAAAATTATATAACTAACCAATTTTTTTAATATTACAACAAAAACAAATTATATTAACTTTTAATTATTTAAATTCATATTTATCATTATTTTATTTATTCTATTATATTAAGATAATATTATAATATAATACTAATTAAATTAAATATAATTTAAATTCAAAAATATTATAAAAGAAATTTATGTTATAATTTATAAATATAATATAGACAATCATTTCAATAAAAGTAAATATACATAATTTCTATAATTTCTGTAATTATAAAACATATATATATTAATACTTATCATTTTTTATATGTTCTATTATTTTTAAATAAATTTTAATAATAATATTACTTAAATATTAAAATTTTTTATTCATAAATATATTTATATTTATATTAAAATAAAAGCTTAATATATACCATTAGTCTATCTGTCATATTATTTGTTAAATAGTATTATAATTAAATAATAATTTAATTAAAAAAAGAAAAATTGATGTTATAACTTATGACGAATATATATATATATAATGTATTAGAATATATATAAATAAGTAAACTAAAATAATTTCTTTTAATTTTATATATAATCATTCACTACTCTGCCAATCAGCTAAATGTGTATATTAATCAGAGTATACTGCTCCAGCTGCTTACTGCTAATGCTGCATTATGCTACTGCTCATCAAAAAAACTATACCAATCAAAGCCTTATTTTTACTGAGATAGGGTGATATCAGGGAAAGAGAAACCGATCAAAACCTTCCAAAGAACTCCGGTTAAATACTGAGATTCAAACTGGAGATCAATGGCTCAAGGAATGTCTAAAACTCAAATCATACGTCTTGGCCGAAGCCTCAAACCTAAAAGAATTAGTAACCGAACCAAAGTGTGGAGGAGACCCGAATTGACAAAACAAAAGGAGCAACAAAGCTATCCGAGGGGTAGTGATAGAGTACAGTCATTGCACAAGCCCGTGACTGAGCCCCCGAAGTTAGCAAAACCTAGGGAAACCCAAAACTTTTCCACCAAAGAAATCCGAGAGCAGGACTGCAACTCAACGACAAGGAAAGCCAGACAGACACGGCAAGCAACCATCACAGCCAACACCATCGGAATCTAAGCCTGCTCTTCGAGAACAAATATGACAAGGACACTAAGGAGGAAGATAGTAGAGATGAGGGAGTTACTGGTTAACAAGGCCACGATCTAATGTTGCACAGATTCGCCGAAGAAAGATGAAAGAGCAAGCCGTCGAGAGAAGACCCTCAACGAAGAGAACCACCAAAGCAAATTTGAAACGAGCCATGACTCCAATCCGAGATCTACAAGTGAGAAATGCAACTCCGGCACACAGGCGATTACTCCAAGGCCAAATCTCATCAGATCTGAATCTTGAGATCCACCACTCCAAATCGACAGAAACCTACACGCTTCCACAGTCAGAGAATACTAAGACAAAGGATGAAAAACTAAGCAAAAAAAACAGGAATCGTGACGGACGTCGGCGCTGACTGAGCCGTCACGCGCCGGTCAAAGACTTGACAGCGGTTGAGTTTAAGTGAGGGAGACGAGAGAGAAAATTAGGTTTTTTGGAAAAAGATCACACAAACTAGAGTTAAAATCGTATGGTTTGGACACCTAAACAAATTTAATTTTTTATTATTATTATTAATACGTACAAGAGCTTAAAAACATGTAAGCAACACTTGGAGTATTTAATTACGCTTTGCCCAACTTGTCTAAAATATTATAACTCTGGTAGAGTTGTGTTTAGCCAGCTAATGCGGCCAAAGGACCTAGTAGTGCGATTTAGGTTAGTAATTTCTCTTTTATTAATTAATTAAAGTGTTTGGTTATTCATATTCCATTGAACTCAAAAATATGCTCATTTTTTAATCATGATTTCTGCATTAACCATTAGACCCTGATTTTTGGTAAGCTAAGCTCCTTCAGAAAGACCTTAGGCCTTATGCGGCTATATGTGATTCTTTGGTTTACGTATACTGGTGGAGTTTATATTACAAAAAAACCGATGTACATACTAATTAAAATTAAACCCAGAATCGCATTTATCAAAGCATACATACTAACTAAATTATTAAATCGTCACAAATCGTTGT